AAAATAGGTTTGGGGTGAGCTCAGGGCCCCAATTGCTCTTTGGTTTTAGAGGTGTCCTCAGTGTCTTACAGACTGAAGTGAGTCCTCACTCCCTTTGAACGATCATCCTCCCAATATTCTGGTGGCCACTGTGACCACAGTCTACTGAGACAGCTCAGGGAAGGGGTGGGCTTGTCCCAAGGAAGATTGTGAATAGGGACAAAGTGGGGAAAGAGCCCAGGCCTCCGATCCCAGCATAGCACTCCCTCCCTGCCCCCTACCTAGTTGCCATATATGCTACAAACCAAAGCCAACTTCCTCCAGGTCACCCTCCTTAAATGCTGCCTCAGCGCCTGGATCTGGCTTTCTGGGGACAGTGAGGAGCCACCTCTCTTTCTCTGGTTGTCCTAACAGCTCCAAGGCCTGGTTTGGTGGTAAGGAGGGGCTGGGAGGGCTTGGCCCAGGCTGGAAGAATCCTGCTTAGGTGAGTTCCTGGGGGCATCCCCTCTCTCCTCACCACACACACGCCTCCTGAGCTCTGGGCCTGCTTTGTGGAAGGGACAGTGACTGCTAACAGGGTTGTGAAGGGGACATGGGAGGAGCTGATGATATACAATAGATGCTCAATAAATGCCTGTGGAGAAAAGGAAACAGGAGGAGAGAGGGATGAGCATAAGCGAGTAGTTGAGTGGATTGGCTCACAGAAGGAAGGGGAGATGGGCTGCTGGTGGATGAGCTATTGAATGATGAAGAAAGGAAGGGGGGATGCAGGAGCTAATGACTGGGAAAATGAACATGGATTCCCAGTGGCTCTGGTGTTACAGCTAAGGAGGGACCAAGAACTTTAACCATCCACCTACCCATTTGACAAGTGAGACTACAGCAAGGGCTGGGAGAAAGGAAACTGATGGGCCTGTGGGGGCTGGTGGCCTCTGGTCTCCCCTTAGCCTGCCCAGTCCCCTCAGCCCCCTCCTTCCAGGAAAGAGGGGTTCCAGGAAGGACACCTTTCTCCGCCTCCTTGCCCCTCGAGGCCCAGTTTCCGCCAGGCTGAGGGGCGGCGGGGAGGCGGTGGCCCCTGCAAGGGCTATTTCAGTCAGAGACAGCCCTGCCAGGAAGCAGAGGAAGCTGTCCACCCACTGGAGGTGATACAGCCCGACTGAGGTCTGCGTGTGGAGAGCCCCACGTCTGGCTTCCCTGGGCCCCAGCACACTTGGGACCACCAACCTACCACAGGGACAGGAGGCTGCATGTGAGTGTCACTGCGTTTTGGGGCCGTGGGCTGGTCGGGGGTGGGATGGAGAGTAGCTGGAGACAAGGAGCTATAACTTCAGGCCAGCAAGCTGGGTCCAGCTCTGACCTAAAAGAGGCCCACAGGATTCCACCCAGCTGGGGGATCAAAAAAGGAAGAAGCAGGATTGGGCCTGGAGCTTGGTGAACACTGAGGATCCTGACAAATGGAGATGGACTGAATGGCACCTGTGCGAAGGGAACAGCAAAGATGGGCAGGCCGGAGAGGGCGTCTGGCTCTGTGACTGGCAGTGGCTGTGTGGCTGTCTCTATGTCTTGGGAACAGTGTGACTGGAGAGGAAGGGTATTTCCCTGAGGGCAGAGGATGCTGGGAAGGATATGGTCAGAGCCACCTCTTTGAAAGCCCACACCATGGGCAGCTAATGGGGCAGGGGTCAGAGCTGGTCCAGGACTTGGGGCCTAAGAGTGGACCACAGACATGAAGACCAAGTCCAGCTGCTACCTAGAGGTGGGGGCCAAGCAAGCCTTCCCTCAGGCAGCCCCTGCCAGGAACAGGGAGGACAGCTCAGCCCTCCCAACCCCTCAGAAGATAGAGTGAAGCTCTGATAGGGAGCCAGAGCCAGGCCTCTTTCCTGGGCCAGAAAGATTTGCCCAAAGAGCAGGACAGTTCCCTGGGCCCTCTCTACAGTCCCTGACTCCTTCCAAGAGGGAGAGGAAGGTCCCCAGAGGACCAGGGAGCAGGAGAGGCATAAACCAACAGGAGTCTCAAGCCACCTGAGGCAGAGGGCTCTCTGTAGGGCAGGGTCTGATGGCAACAGGCCTCCCAAAGGAAGGTTAGGGACACATCTCCCTTCCACCTACACCGGTTCTCTCAGACCCTGCCTTCCCCACCTCACTCACCACCTGGGGTATCCTTGTACCCTTCTCCACCCACAGAAATCCTCCTCAGCCACCAGGGTCTTTCTCCAAACTTCAGCTCTGAGAAGTCCTTTCCACCCTGTGGCTTCCACTGGTCTTCCTCAGACTGGCACATCTGTAGCTATATAGACTGGAGCTCTGCGCCTGTCTATGTCTATATACTATGCCACCCCCACGCATTCAGCAGGCAGTGAGTAAAGGCCCAGCAGGTGGAAATGGGAGAATGAATGCATGCACCAAAGAACGGCCTGGATGAATGAACATAGAGATGAAAAATGAACCTCCTCTTGCCCATAATCGTCTTGGGTTCCTGGCCACTCTGGGGGCGGGTGGACTCTGTGCTTCTTCCTCTGTCCCTGCCCCACACACCCACATTCTCTCAGCTGGACACAGAGCAGTCCAAGCATACGGGCTGAAGACCCACCAAAAGTCTTTGGTAGCCAAAGGTGATATGGGGGATGGAGTGCAGACCAGAGAATCTAAACATCATTTTGTTCAGGATTTGGGTAAAATAGCTGAGCACAGTGACATATGCCTGTAATCCCAGGGACTTGGGAGGCTGAAGCCAGACAATCACAAGTTTGAGGTCAGCCTGGGCAAGTTAGCAAGACCCTGTCTTAAAATAAAATAAAAAGAGCGGGCTGGGATTGTGGCTCAGAGGTAGAGCACTCACCTAGCACGTTTGAGACCCTGGGTTCAATCCTCAGCACCACATAAAAATAAAAAAATAAAGGTATTATGTATAACTAAAAAAAAAAAAAAAAGAAAACCTGTTTTTTTAATAAATAAATAAAAATAAAAAGGGCTGGGGGGGGGCTGGGGTTGTGGCTCAGCAGCAGAGTGCCTGTCTAGCATGGGCAAAGCCCTGAGTTCGATCCCCAACACCACATAAAAATAAATAAATAAGCTACAACTAAAAAATAAATATTAAAAAAAATAATCATAATAAATAAAAAGGGCTTGGGAGGTAGCTCAGAGGTAGAGTACTATTGGATTGAATCTCCAGTACCCCCCCACACACACTCAAACACACAAGAATTTGGGTAAAATAATTTCACTAAAATCAAATTTTAAAAATTTGCTCTAATATAACTTTTTAAAAGTCTCATAAGCTCATTTATCAGGTATAGTCACATTAAAAACGGCTAACACAATGCCAGGCACCGATCCTCACAACAACCTTATAAGGCAGGTACCCTATGTCCCATTTTACAGATGGGGAAACTGAGGCACAGAGGTTAAGTAATGTGCCCAAGGCCACACAGCTTATTTGTGGCAGGGCTGGGATTTGAACGTAGGAATCTGAATCCATATACTCAGACTTGATTCCTTTCCTGGGCCAGAAAGATTTGCCCAAAGAGCAGGACAGTTCCCTGGATCCCCTTTGAGTACCTTTGCAGGACTTCATATTTTTTCTGGGCCTCGGTTTTTCTCATCTGTTAAACAGAGTGAGGACTGGATTATCTCAAAGGCTTTGCTTTCCAGATCCATTGGATTTAAGTTGTAAACTCTCCCTAGACATCAATGATATGGAAATGTCATTATCCAGGAGGCTCCAGAAGTCATACTCCAACAGGAAACCCCTTAAGGAATTTGGGCTGGGCTGCTAAGTTCCCCGAAACCCAGCCTGAACCAGTAAGAGGTGGGACAAGATGTAAGATGCAATGACATGGTATTTATTGAGCACCTACTGAATGTCAGGCCCTTGACACATTTTACTGTTCAGGCCAGCAAAGGCAGGCGGCATGACCTGAGCTGTCCAGTGTGACAATCTGGGAGCCAACATCGGAACCCAGGCCTGCCTGCTTCTGAAGCTGCCCTTATCACTTCCACATCCCATGTCTGTGGGCCATGCCAAGCTGCTTCCTCTGAATCAGGTGGTCTGGTTCTGGCTATAGCTCTGCTTCTAACTCAGTAATTAAGTTTGAGTTGTCCCTGCTCATCATTGCCTCTGGATTTCCATCTATATAAAACTGATCCCTCACCAGTTGTCTTCAGGAAAATGGTTTTCACTATGGACACCAGGGGGCGCTGTGGCGTCCACCTTTGCTAGTCCTACCTTGGTATCCTCGAGTCAATTGGAAAGAAACCTTAGGGATGCCCTGGGTCACCTCCTTGCCCTACTTTACAGATGAGGAGGCTGCTACCAAACCAAGAACATGGCTTTTGGAAGGTGGAATTCAGACTGAGGAAGTTGGAGCTGTCCTCAGTAAGCTCATGATGTGTGGATCATTCAAATGGGTTAACTAAAAGATACCAGGAACCTCTCTGCCCTGGACCCCAGGTCTGGCTCTAAGATACAGAGAGGCACCAAACCTGGCACTTCTCAGAAATTCCTCAGTCTGTGAGAGACAGGTAGATCCACCATAACCACAATCTCCATACCCTAGGGAGCTCAGGGGAAGCCCTAGATAGCATGACTTAGGGACTTAAAGGTGAGTGCAGCATTTCCCCCATTTCACAGATGAGGAAACTGAGACTCAGAGAAGTTAGATAACTATCCCAAGGTAAGCAGCAGAGTTGGGTTTCAAACCCATGTTCATCAACTTCTACTAACAAAGAAGGAGACACATGACCAGGGTTTTGAAGGATGAATAGAAGTTCCCTAGGAAGGCTGATGGGAAATAAATACTATAGAATAAAAGTAAATTGGATTTCTCCCAGGTTTGAGCTTCATTGTACAGTAAGTTTCCCTGAAGTGAGAGCTATGTGGGGCCTCAATGAGGTGGTAAGTATAAGAGATGACAAAGTTAGTGCTCTAATTGTCCAGATAGAGAGATGGAGGCCCAGAGAGGGCCAAGGCCTACTGGTGGTTGGTGAGCATGTCACTGACAAACTGTGTTTTGTTTCCCCAGCCTCTCCAAATGTAGGAAGCCCAGCTGGGCAGAAATGGAGTGGGACAATGGCACAATCCAGGCCCAGGGCTTGCCACCCACCACCTGCGTCTACCGCGAGGACTTCAAGCGGCTGCTGCTGCCACCTGTGTACTCAGTGGTACTAGTAGCAGGCCTGCCACTCAACCTCTGTGTCATTGCCCAGATCTGCACGTCCCGCCGGGCTCTGACTCGCACAGCTGTGTACACCTTGAACCTGGCCCTGGCTGACCTCCTGTATGCCTGCTCCCTGCCCTTGCTCATCTATAACTATGCCCAGGGTGACCACTGGCCCTTTGGAGACCTGGCTTGCCGCCTGGTGCGCTTCCTCTTCTATGCCAACCTGCACGGCAGCATCCTCTTCCTCACCTGCATCAGCTTCCAGCGATACCTGGGCATCTGCCACCCCCTAGCACCTTGGCACAAGCGGGGGGGCCGCCGGGCTGCCTGGCTGGTGTGTGGAGCTGTGTGGCTGGTGGTGACAGCCCAGTGCCTACCCACTGCCATCTTTGCTGCCACAGGCATCCAGCGGAACCGCACCGTCTGCTATGACCTGAGCCCACCCGCCCTGGCGGCCCGCTACATGCCTTACGGTATGGCCCTCACGGTCATGGGTTTCCTGCTGCCCTTTGCAGCCCTGCTGGCCTGCTACTGCTGCCTGGCCCGCCGTCTGTGCCGCCAGGACGGCCCTGCAGGGCCCGTGGCCCAGGAGCGGCGTGGCAAGGCTGCCCGCATGGCTGTGGTGGTCGCGGCTGCCTTTGCCATCAGCTTCCTGCCTTTCCACATCACCAAGACGGCTTACCTGGCGGTGCGCTCTACCTCCGGCGTCTCCTGCCCTGTCCTGGAGACCTTCGCCGCTGCCTACAAAGGTACAAGGCCCTTCGCCAGTGCCAACAGCGTTCTGGATCCCATCCTCTTCTACTTCACCCTGCACAAGTTCCGCCGGCGGCCTCATGAGCTCATGCAGAAACTCACAGCCAAGTGGCAGAGGCAGGGTGGCTGAGTCTTCCTAGGCGGAACCCAGGGCCGTGCCTGTGGCCAGGACACCAGAAGTTCCACCAACCCCAAACCACACAGAGAGTTAAAATGTAACTCAACTAGTCACAGATAGCCCCTTGAAGACCCCAGATCTCTCTGTGGTCACAGAGACCAAGAGGCCTGGGCCTCCAGAAGCTTCCAGTCAGTCATAGACAGTTAAAAAAAAAAACATGCTAAAGGTTGGGGATGTAGCTTAGTTGTAGAGCACTTGCCTGGCATGCATGAAGCCCTGAGTTCAATTCTCAGCATTGCCAAAACCAAACAAAAAGATTGTTGCCGGGCACAATGGCATACACCTGTAATCCCAACAGCTCAGGAAGTCAAGGCAGGACAGTCACAAGTTCAAAGCCAGTCTCAGCAACTTAGAGAGTCCCTAAGCAACTTAGCAAGACTGTCTCAAAATAAAAAAATAATAATAATAATTAAAAAAAAAAAGAGCTGGGGATGTGGCCCAGTGATTGAGTGCCCTTGGGTTCAATCCCTGGTGCCAAAAAAGAAAAAGGAAAACCATGTTAAGCTGCTCATAGAAATATAGTGTGACATGTACTGTAACAGAGGCTTTGTACTGTATGCTGCGCTGGAGTACATCTGTGGAGTCCCGGATGAAGGCTATGAGGGAAGATGCACAAGGAAGTGAGAGCTTCCAGGAAGTGGAATTTGAGCTGGGTTTTAAAAGATGAATGAAAGCTCTCTGGTGAAGAGGAACCAAATCCCATTTATTTAGCAAACCTTTACTGAGACCTGGGTGGTTCTGAGGCCCCAGAAGAACCAGACCCAGCCCTGCCCCATACAGGCTCCCAGGTCCTGGAGGTGCAAACACAGACACAGTGATATCAAGGCTGGGATAGGCAGAGGAGGAGGGGTGCCCAGAAGATCTCATGACCCAGGCTAAGGTGTTAGGAAAGATCCCTCTAGGAAAGAGCCATCTGAGCCAGATGGCAAAGGCTGAGTAGGAGTTCAGCAGATGAGGTGGGGACACTTTAGTACAACCTGGGCCAGTCTCCTGCTGGGCTCTGCCCTGGGGCAACTGGGCTGAGCACTAAGGAGCAGGGCATGTGGACTCCATGTGTCCCACAGCCACTCTCCAGACAAGGACAGGAAGTGGCAAGGTGCTGCAAGCTCAGCAGGGAGAGGAATGGGGGACACTTCTTAGAAGAGAAGGCACTGGTGGAAGGCACTGTGGGCACAAAGCCTCGAAGTAGCAATCAGCTGAGTATGACTGTAAAGCAATTAAACCTGAAAGCTTGTATACAGGACCAACGCCCAGAAAAGGAGCTGTGGGGCCAGAGCATTACCTGCTAAGAAAAGCCCAGAGCCACCTCCCCTTCATTGCCTCTTCCAAAGTGGATCTCAAGACAAGGATATCCTCGGGGCCTGGGCACCACCATGACCCCCCAAGAGAGGGGAAACAGCACTTCAACACTGCATCATTCTAAAAGCAGAAGCCAAAAACTTGAGAAGACTTAGGGCCGCCAGGAGGCTGCGACCCCGGAGGTCCTGTGCCTGGGAAGCCCTGGTCTCATGGCAGACTGTCCTTGCTGTGTTCCACACCTGTCCTCTCGGGTCCCTCATTTTGACCTGTCGGAGCCTAGAAGGCTGCCTTGCTATCCCCTGTGGAGGCGCCTCAAACACAGATCTAAGTCTCTAAGATCTCAGTACAAAGCCGAAAGGCATCTTTACTGCAGGCAACTCAAGGAGGCAGGAAAGTGAAATCAAGGGCCCAAGTCCTCATCCCCACCTCTCCCCCAGCACTTTCCCTGACCATTGCTCTGGGGCTCCTCATCCTCTGTTCTGGTTTCTCTTCCCCACCCTAAACCAACCCTCCTTCCCCTGCAGTCCTCCCAGACAAGTTTCTCTCATGTGGAACCATCTAGCCTGCCCTTGGCTGCTGGTGCAACAGACAGCTATATAAGCAAGGAGTCCTCCATTTCAGAAGGTAGAGCTGGGAGAGGAGAGGGCAGAAGAACAGGGCTGGAGAAGAACTGTGAGTGAGTTCTGGAAAAATCTTTAAGCCCTCTGTAATCTCCAAGGTTGCCGAGTAACAGGGACATCCAGAGAAGGGTTTCAGGAAATTTAACTCCTAACACTGTCAGAGGTGTATTTGTAGATGGTTGAGGAAGAGAAAAAAACAGGCCCAACCCACCTTGGGAATCTACTTACTGTCCTTACTGGAGAAGCTGGTAATTTGGACAGGAAGAACTTTGTATTCTTTTGGCCACAGTGAGAGAGATGTGTGGGGACATTAGAAGACAGGGTGTTTTCAATTCCCCATAGGATGCAATGGGTGCCAAGCAGGTCAGATGTTACCCACCTTGCATCCAGCCTGTTCAATAGGGAATGTGGGCAACCACAAGCAGAAGCCTGACTGAGCCCTGTTGAGAGGGCCAGGTTACTGTCCCAGCCAGCTACAGGAGCTGTGATGTGTTGGTTACTTTTCCAGGATTGGAAGTTGTAGGCCACAGGTAAATTGCTTTCCCAGCTTCCCTTAGTGAGGCAAAGTATCATAGAGGGTACAGAGCCCCAACCAGGCCACCTGAGTATGCATCCAGATTCTACCATTTACTAGCTATGTTACTCTAGGTAAGTTACTCAATAAACCCCTTTGTGCCTCAGTTCCCCAACTGAACAACTGGGATAATAATACCTGTCTTGCAAATTGTTGTGAATATTAAATTAATTAATATGTGTGAAGCAGTCCCTGCAACGTAATAAGCATGCAATGAATGTTACTATTATAATTATTTTGCCTTTTGGAACACAAGTTCCTGCAGAGTCTCTCTCTCTCTCTCTCTAGGAACAGCCACAGGAGGTTTCTAAACAGTTGGCTTTAAGTAAGGATTTGCAATACTTTCTCTAGGAGGCAGAGTCTTTTAAGGAAAAAAAGCTCTTCACACTTTTTCCAGAATAAGGACTATAATTCGCAAACCCCATCTGTTCTGATAAGAAAGAAAAACCATTTGTTGCATGCCAGTACCAAGGACTCCAGATGCTGTGTGGGGGCTTGAGTGCCCCTTTCCCTCTCTCTCCCTTTGTCTCCTTTCTCTTTCCCACCCTTTCTTTCCTCCTTACTTTAATGCAGAGCACATCAATGTTGGGGTGGGAGCTGGGGCTGACCCTGGGGATGCTCCGCTCCCTGGGATGGGAGACAGAGGGGACACAGAGGGAGTAAGGAGGTAGTGTGGTGAGGCACCTGGATGTGGTTCAGAAAGGCCTAAAATGTGGGTTCAGAAAGGTCCAAGGTGACTCTCCTTTGAGTTGGAGATCTCCTGGGGGATGGGACAGGGCCATTAGGCTTTGTAATGAAACCTGGTGGGAGGAGAGAGGTTAAGGGTGTCCCTGGTGCAAGAGAGAGTATAGGCAAAGGCCTGCAAGCTGTTGGAGGAGGGATAGGTGGTATAGTGACCCACGTTGAAGCTGAGAGTGAGGGCTTTGGTGCCAGTCCAGAAAAGTCCTTCATTGATATCAAGGCCTATTTACTGGGCCCTGTGGGTCCCGGGCACCAAGCAATGTGCTTTACACACATTTTCTCATTTACCCATTATAATACCTCCTGTGACAGATGGGGAAACTGAGGTCACAGTGTTGGAACTAACTTGTCAAGGGTCAAGGTCACACAGCCTTTTTATAAAATACTGGATTCCCCCTCTTCATCCTCTTTCCCCTCCCTTTCTTCACCTGCTATTCAGGTACACCTCCCCTGCACAGTCCCAGTAACTGGGGTCCCCAAGAAGGTGTAACAGAGGCAGCTGGAGGCCAACCACAATATCACTTCTCCCCTTTAGCTAGGCACATGGCCTCCTAGGATGAAAACTTTACTCCCCAGACTCTTGCAGCTAGGCATACCAGTGGCTTACTCCTAGCAACCGGATTTCAACAAAGCGCCCAAAGAAAGTTTCATATGAGGAAGGAGGAGTATTTTTAGAGACCGGTGGAGTCTTTGCCCTCACCCCTGCCCCTTCTTATTGTTTACAAGGTAGAGAGGACAATTGGGGTACCATCTTGGACAGTGAGGGCAAGGGCCCCTTCTGTGGCTGGTAGAATAAGAAGCTGGGAGCAGCTTGGGTCTCCAACCATTCTAATCTGAACTTTTACATGAGAAATAAATACTTTAAAAAAAATAGTTTTTTAGGCATTTGTCACCCACAGTCAAAACTAATTCCCTTAGATTCCATCCTGAGCTGGTGGACCTAGGTGGAAGCCTGGCTGGGACTGGGGTGTGGGTCAGGGTCTAGGATCAGGGTCAGGGTCTGGGCAGAGGGCAAGGCCTCACCCTAGTGGGAGCTAGGAGCCAACTCTCTGAAGACACCCAGGAAAACAATTCCTGAAAATGTGCAAATCCTGGGAAAGGGACAGCCCCAGTGTGGCTTGAGGCCAAGGGTGTGCATAGGCTTCCTGGGGGAGAGTGAGAACAGAGGGCCCCTGTTTAGAGTCCTGGAAACTCCAACAGTAGCAGGCTGTGGAAGAGGAAGCCAAGGAGGTGGAAGGCAGGGGCCTGGAGGTCTCTAAACTGTGGTGGCATGATGGAGCAGTGGAGTTTGTGAGGGAGTGTATCACAGCTTGGAAATGAGGTGTCCCCTCCCAAGAGGTCCTGCGTTAATGTAGCCATATTCAGATGTAATAAAATGATAGGAATATGAGAGCTGTAATCCAATCAGTCTGTTCCAGTTGGAATGGACTGACTATAGGCAGATGGGGCTTGGCTAGAGGAGGTGGGTCATTGGGTACATTCCCCGGAAAGGCCCATCTTCCCGGTGGCCCCTTCTCCCTCCTCTCTTTGCTTCCTGCACTAGGAGGTAAGCAGCACTCTTCTGCCAAGCCCTTCCACCATGTTTTTCTGCCTCATCTTGGGCCTGGAGCAATGGAATTGGCCATCTATGGACCACTGGCCATCATTTCTCTGGAATCATAATCCCCAAATAAACTTGTCCTCCTCTTAAGTTTTTCTGATCACAGTGATGCAAAGCTGCCTAACACAGATGGGCTGGAAGGGGGAAGTGGAGGTGGGGAGTGAAGGTGCCGCCCCTGACCAGTGGGGTTGGGGGCAGACTGAACTAAAGTCACTTGTGTGAATTTACAGTGTCCCTGTAACCTGGCCTCAGGCTCCCCAAGAAGAGGGGCAAGAGAAGGTCACAAGAGGCTAATGAGAGAGAGAGAGAGAGAGGGGACAAACT